CTTTCCCTTTCTTTCTTTTACTTATTGGTGGTACCAGGGATCAAACTCAGAACCTTGTGCTTGTGAGGCAGGCATGGTGCCAATGAGCTAAATCCCCAGCCCTCGATTGTATTTTCTAAAGTCACTTCTCAAGTTCCATTAATCTGTCCTACACATAGGCAGCAGCATGCTTATCTTTCTTCAGGCAAGACTCCTTAGAATACCCCTCATCCAGCTCCCTGCCAGCTGGAACACCTCAAACCTGGTCCTTCCATTAAGGCCCCTCCCTGTGGATGCTCACACTGTATGTAACCCTCGTGTGTCCACAGTGGCTCCAGATTTCTCCACACCAAGAGATGACAGACCAGAAGGAGAGTCAGCCATCCTCACCTGAACCGTGCCACACAAAGCTGGGAAAGGCCTGGGGTCAGCCAGGGAAATACCCCACTGGAGAGGTGAGGAGACCATGATCCAGAAGAATGGAGGACTTTGACTAAGGCCACCTATTTAATTAGTGGGAGAAACAAGATTTGTCTCCTGCTTTTTTTTTTTTTTTTTTTTTTTTTGGTGGTGGTGGTACTGGGGATTGAACCCAGGGCCTCTGCACTGAGCTACATCCCCAGCTCCTTTTTATTTTTTGAGACAGGATCTTGCTAAATCTCTAAGTTATCCAGGCTAGACTCCAACTTTTGATTTTCCTGCTTCCGCCTCCCAAAGAGCTTGGATTACAAGTGTGTGCCACCATGCCCGGCTCATCCCCTAGTGACCTTCTTGTTATGCCCCATGCCTGAGTGTTGCCCCAGGACTGATCACACACCAGAGGTGCCTGGATTCCCAGCCCCCCACTCCTCCATCTCAGGTGAGGGAGTCCGGGTGCTCTTCTGGGCCTGTGTGTATCTCCCCCTTCTGACTTCAGGATAGGAGACGACCTACTCTGGGCTGGAGTGGTAAATAAAATGTTCCAGGAGTGTTGGTATTAAATTCCTACAAGGCGGAGAAAAAGACAGCCATCAAGGACATCATTGGGCTAATTGACAAAAATGGAGAGCAGACTGGGAACTGATTAGATAACGGCATTGGTTCAATGTCAGGGTGCCTGATTTCAACAACTGCATTGTTGTTATATTGTTAAGAGACACGTGATGAATCAGAAGTTCAAGGCACAGTCTCTCTAATATAGTCTCCATCTAAATGCAAATATATTGATATATACACAGAGAATGATAAAACAATGGAACAAAATGTAAAGGTGAATTTTAAGTAAAGAGGATACAAAACTTCCTTGTTCCATCGTTGCAGATGTCCTATAACGTTGAAATTATATCAAAGTAGCTATTCAGAAGTTGCACCGAGAGGTGTAGTGAGCCTCTGGCAGGCCTCTCGATCCAGGGTCGCACGCCAGCTGTTGCCCTTCTCCTCCCCTGCTCTCAGGGTAGCCCGGCCTCTGCCAGCCCCATGGGCCAGCTCCTCTTGCTGCCCCAGGGCCTCCAGGAGCACTGCCCACCTCGTGTGGACTATACAGTTGGCTGAGACTATGGCGAGGCACAAGGGGTGGTGACTGGGATACACAGCAGGGACAGTGCCCTGTCCTGTCTAGCTGGGAGACCCTGGGCAGGACAGCTTCACCTCTAAGGCTCAGTTGCTCTCATCTGTGACATGGGAACAACTACTACATGAAGCATGGGGCTCGGCAGAAGTGACACAGATGGAGTACCAAGGTGACGGCTGTGTGCAGGAACTCAAAATGTCCTGGGTCACTCAACTCAGCTGCCCTGACAGCCACCACCCGAGGATCTGTGCAGCCCCCACCCCAGCTCCTGCCTCCTCTCACACTAAACCACATCAGCTACGCTTCTGTCCTCCTTCACGACCTGCCCAATCTCCCAAACCACCTCCAGCTCCCTCCTGTATGTGTGCACAGTGCCTGTATGGTTACAGCACTTGTGAGCTCATCTGCTTGGAAAGCTGGAATGGGGTAGAGAGGCTTGGCCTCCCTCCCACTCCGGCTCCTCAGGGACTGGCCGGTGGGGCTCCCAGGCTGCAGAGTGGATGAGCACTGTTTGCTCCCACTCTCGACAGCTGAGTCACAGAGTGGGACAGGGCCACGATCTGTCTGACAGGAGACCACTTGCCCCTCCATTGGGAAGACAGATGCCCCCTTAGGTTAGGTATCACTCAGCCCACAACACAGCCAGACCACTCATGGAACGGGACATGCCTCATCTCACGGCAGTGCTGTGAGAAAGGGGCAGGTGACCCGGGTGTACAGATCACATGATTAATGTATTTGCATATTTACATATATGTAAATACACAGAAAAAAGTCACTGTGAATATATCTGCGGGTGAGTGGAATTAGGGGTTGAGGAAAGAGAACTTTCACACTGTACTCAATATATTTCTACATTGTTTAAAATGCTTAAACAAGACTGCATGCACATATTATGTATGTAATTCATAAGCAATAAATTATCCCCAAAAGAGAAAAAACTGGGGCTGTAGACCTAAAGGACATCCTACTCACTTCCTACCTGTGGGCAGCCACCTCCTCAGAAAGCTCTGGGAACCAAGCCCCAAGGTATCTCTCTGGCACTGGGGTGAAGGCTTCTGAAGGACAAGAGGGTGGGAGGTGCAGGTGTAGAGGAACCCAACCATCCTGTCAATGCCCTCAGGTCTAAGAGGACAGCAAAAGCATGAGAAGTGACCTCAAGGGTGCGTGGAGATGCGCGCTCCCATTCTGTAGGGTGCAATGTTGGTCACTCCAGCACGGAGGCTGTCTACACAGTGAGCCTCTCCCCCTGCAGACAGGCAGTGCTGGGACCAAATCTGTCAGGAATGTGAGGGGAAACACTCCCTGCCAGCCCTGCTCCTCCATCTCACCGGTGTCCTGCTTGTGCCCCTGATGCACTGAGACACTCTGAGCATGCTGGGTGAGGGGCAGGAGGAAGCTCCATGTTTCAGAGGCAGCAGGAAATCCCCTCCTGCCACTCAAGTGTATCAAGAGATACAGTGGGTCCCCGCTCCTCTCTGGGCAGCCACTTTCCAGCTTGGTTCTGATTTAATTGGTTTGGGGTACAGCAGTGCTGATTTCCAAGCTCCCCAGGTGAGTCTAATTTGCAGCCAGGGCTGCCAGTGCTCTGGAGTGGGGTGAGGACAACTTGACTGGGGTTTTCCACAGCCTCCTGCCCTCTGGGACAGAGCCAGCTTCATGTGTGCTCAGTCCTGCTCCTGTTTTTCTCCTCTACAGCTGCCTCTGATTCTGCCTCACCTCCCTCAGGATCACACTGGAATGGGGTTTCAAGAGCTGGGGACCCGGAGGCAAGCCAACCTGTCATCCCCAAGACACAGTCACCGTACTCTTCTAAGAGTGACATCTTGCCTGCTCACAGTGCCCTATAACTAACAGCAGGGCCCAGGTAGGACTTTGGGAAAATAAAACTATTAACCCGTTCCTTGTAGGTTCTTCTTAGTTTGGTTTCTGTATTTCCAACAACATATTAAATGCCCACCCTTAACAGTGACTCCTCCGTGATTCTCACAGATGTTTAACTCACTGTGATTAAAAGCTCACAGGAAGTTCTCACTTCACTTTGGCTGCCCACCCACCCACCGAGGCCCGAGAGCCCCCTTCCATTCTCTCCTTACTCCCTAATTCTCAGGCTGGTCAGTGTACAAAGAATCCCAAACCATCACCAAATACATTGCTTTACAAATACAAAGAAAGAAGAGAATAAAGTAATGTCATAACACTGCCTTGTAATGGGAAAAGAGAAAAGGCCTTTGAAGCAATTAGGGTAGGTAACTTCCCTCTCTTAGTATGGGTAAATGAGAGTGTGTCTTATCTTCTGCTGGCTTTAAAACAAAGTGTGCTGGGGACTCCAAGCCACTGAGCAACTTGTTAAAATTACAAGAGTCAAAGGGTACCTTTGCTAACAAAATTACACTAATAATCATAGTCAAAGCCAGGGCTAAGTTACGACTTCTGAGGGTTTCAGGGACTTCTGCCTTCATGGGCCCCTTTCTCCATTAAAAAAACTAAACATATATTTTAAAGTATATAAAGTATATATTTTACAACTGATCTAGTATAAAGATGAATATATTAATACTACGAATTAAATATACTGTCTTAGAACTAATCATTCATTTTTTTCTTTTTAAGTTTATACAATGACACATTTCTACAGACCTGTAAAAGCAATGTGGATAAGTAGGCCCTGGGGGAAGCTGAGATCCAAGAAGAGAAAGGAGGCTGTGTAATGTCTTGGTCAGAAGGTCCCCTCTCCCTTGACTATTTAAGCCACACTGACTTGGAGACACGAGTGAGGGTCTGCCACGAGCACAGCACTCGTTATTCTGAGGGCCCAGGTGAGGACATGGGGAAGGGAGGCGGTCAGTGGAAGAGGGAGGTGCTGACGCTGTAGGAGCCGCAGGGAGGAGGAATTCAGCCAGGAAGGTACCCAGTGGAGAGAGGGGCCAGAGCGAAGGCCTGCAGGAAGAAGCCTGGGCTGGCTTGTGCTCAGTGAGGGGCTCAGTGCTGCTTGAGTATGAAGCAGAGTAAGGAAGGTGGGAGGCAGGGCTGGGACACAGAGGCACCAGCCGGGACACTCATGGGCACAGCACGGTGGGAAGGTCCAGGGCTCAGACAGGCAAGAAGGGACTTTGAGGGTTCTGGGACCACTGGATACTTCAGACTGGGATGCAATGATCACTGCTACAATTTAGACAGGGCTCCCTGGAAAGGCTGTATCACCACGCAGCAATTCAGAACAGCTGCTGTGGAGGTTCGGATGACAAATAAAAAGGGCCCAAGTGAGCCGAGGGGGCCTGGGTAGGGGGGCAAACAAGATGGTGGTAGGGTGCGGTGGGTCAAGAAAAGGCCACTGGCTTGGTCCCCAGGAGGCGCTGGGCATCCTGAGGCATGGGCAAAAATGGGTGCTCAGGGGGCAGGGGCTCTGCTGATGTCACACATGGTCCCAGGGGTCCCTGCCTCTGCGAGGGGAAGCCAGGCCAGTACTCACTCTCAGTTCCTAGCACAGGGGGAAGAGAGCTCTTGGGCCTCCGGGATTTCATCTCCGGGGCCTTGGTGTTCTCTCTGGCTGGTGCATCTGAAAGAAAACAGACAACACAACATCAGTCAGTGGCTGTCCAAGGATCAGGGCAGAGGACACAGCTCAGTCAGAATCCCACATCCACCAGGCCAGCACTCCACCCTGAGGCCAGCACTGCCTCTGCAGAAGCAGTGAAGGAGAGCGCTCCTCAAGGCCGAAAAATTAGGTGTCAGGAGCAGCTGGCCTGGCAAGCTGGATGGACAGGTTACTGGGAGCTAGTTAACAGTGGTAGCACAGGCCGCCAGAAATAACACAGCTGGCAGGGCTAGAGCAGTTGCCCCCTCTGCTTCAGATAACCAGCCTTTCTTTCCTTGGGCCTTGATCTGGAGTGCACTCTGTAGGGAAAGGTCTCACACTGAGGAAGGAGAGACCTGGTCCCTATCCCTGGGCTCACAGATGGCAGGAAGCTGTGGTCTCTGATTTTGCAGACTTGCTTTGTGCTCGGGCCAGATAAGGCCTAGAGCAGTAGCAAGCAACTTTCACCTTGAGACTGAGGTGAGGGCCACTGCAACCCCTCTCCAAGGCAGGCCCTGGAAGACCCTGCAGCAGCCGTTGGCCTAGGAGACTGGCCATGCTGGGCAGGTGGGCACACAGCTCCTCAGGCCTCTGCTTCATGTTCCCTCTTCCTTGCTATGGCAAAGCCTGACAACGCTGGAGGAAACCCTCGTCTGGCAGCAGGGAAAGTCACTCTGTGCAGGGCAGAGCTGGGCCAAAAAGGCTTCCACTGGGACAAGAGGAGACTGGAATTTAAGACATTGCAGGAAAACTACTCAGAACTCAGATAAAAAGTTGCTGGTGGAACAGCTGTCACCACACTCCAGCGTTTTCACTGCTTCCTTTCCCCATAAGGAAAACTTTTTGAGGATAAGCTAGGGGTGCCTCCCCCAGCCCCTTCCTGTCCTCTTCTTCCTGCTCCTGAGAGGAAGCTCAGAGGGAGGAGGGGGACTTTCCAGCTGAGGCTCTGACCACATTCCTGTGGTCTGGCTGGGGAGGAAGAGCCATCTCATTGGCCCTGCCTCCAGGATACTCAGAGCACAGAATGGAGAGGCTGAGGACAGACCCCCTCCAGCCTGTGGACTGATTCCCAATTGGATGCACTTTGCCCTCTAGATGGCATCCAGGTCCTCTTCCTGTTCTAGAACAGCACTGCTTCTGAACACTAACACCAGCCAGGCTTCCTTTCCACCTAACGCCTGCTGTTCTCCATGGGCTCTGGGCAGAATCAGAGGCCTCTGGGTTGTGATCCTCACCAAAGATGGCCGAACCTAGCTGTGCCACTGCAGGAGTGGTCCAGTCCAGGCCTCACCCAGCACTTCTAGTGCTATATGATGGGGTATGGGGTGAAGGACAAAGATGAAAGATGTCTTTTTAAGCAGCACCTGATAACCCAGCCATTACCTTTCTTCCTTCCCTGCTTTGTGTTGCCCTACTCTCACCAACTTCTGGAAGAACAAAGGAGCCCCAGATCGAGGACCCACATTGCCAAGCTGGGGTGTGGGGAGTTGGCACTCCAGGGCATCAGTTTCATGGGGACACAAGTGAAGAAGCAGGACGCCCCCAGGGCTTTAAAGAGAGGTGCACCCAGAAATTTCTTCCTTTCTTTGCCACCTTTCCCACAAGAAGAGTAGAGCACAGGGTGTGAACATAGTTCTGCACCCCTTTCTTCAGCAATCTCTTGCTCCGGGTAAGTCCCACAGCATGCACCAAGCAGAGAAAGAAAAAGAAGGGTTCTTTCTTTACTGATGAAGAAACTGGGGCACAAACAAGCAAAGGATGAGAAGCCCAGTTTTCCTGGGCTCCTGAAAGAAGGGCAGCAGGGACTGAGATTCCTTTTGCCTTCCTGGGTCACGCTGGGCTTCCTTCCAAGAATCCTCACTGTAGGGACCAAGAGAGCACAGTTCTGATTTTGGCTTTGTCATCAGCAGCCTTGAAAACATGGGCAAATCACTTCAACTGCCCAGTGTTTGCGTTTCCAATCTGCACAAAGGGAACGACTCTTATTTTCTGTAATGCACAGCGTCCCAAGCCCAAAGGGATAATGCAGAGTGCCTCGGAGAGCCAAGAACAGCCATGTACCTAAAAAACTCACTCCTCCAGCTAATTGCATTCCCTCCCCTCCTGCTGAATCAGCCTGAATGTTCTCTGCCTTCAGAAAGCCCTGTGGCTGCGACCAGCCCCTGCCCTGGGCTCTGGGGAGCTGTGTGTTCATTCACTGGATGTGCAAGGCACTGCCTGGTGGTGCTTTGAGCCTTGCTTGGGAAGCCTTGCTGAACTTATCTTTCCATCTGGCTGTGAACAGGCTCAGGTTTCTCTTTCAAACCAGGCACACCGCAGACCTGGAGACCCATAGTCAGCCCCTCCCTCAAATGCCAGCTCCTTGGGAGCTGTGCCTGTGCCAGGACGTGGAGCCACTAGGCCTCTGTGAGAACCACAGTGAGGAAAGGGTTGGAAGGACCAAGCACTTAATCAAAAACAGCTTTGTGCTCACACTGCTGCCCAGGGGATAAAAATAATAGTAATAAAACTTTAAGAGCAGCTTGTATTTTTGGTCTATTTTAATCATTTTGTGATGAAACTGAACTTTGTTTCTAGATCTGGGCCCTAGGGCTGGAGTCCTTTGCTGGCCTGGTTGTGCCCCTGAAGAAGCATGGGGAGGAAGATGGAGGTGTGGGGAAGTCGGGGAGCTGCTGAAGAGAGGGAAACTTGTCCTTATATGGGCAGTGCCTCACCCCTTCCACTTTAGGGCTAGGACTAGCTCTGGAGTCCTTCAAGGTGGCATTTTTTCTTTTGCTTCCCTCAAGAGGTTGATCCCTGGCTCTGACCCTATTGGGGAAATGAGATTTGGGGAGGCATCAGGAAGAAGGCCTGAGTTTCAGGAGCCCCACTAGGGGGCAGGATGGAAGTCTGGGCTCCATCCTCTCTCAAGATGGCTCACTTCTCCTTCTTGGGGTCTCTGTTCCACTGCAAGTAAGCAGTGTGGTAGAACAGAGACAGCTTTCTGGTTGAGAAACTTGAGCTCCTTTATGGCTCCACTATTTAATGACTATGTGTCCTTGGGTAAGTTCCTGAACTTTTCTGTGCCTGATCTTTTTCACTTGGAAAAAGGGAATAATAACACCTCAGTATGAGAACAAAAGAGAAGGGAGTTGTAAAATAATACATGACATTTACTTGCAACGTACTTCACATAAGCTCTGTGCTGAGTGCTTTAGAAGCTCACAATAGGTGGAACTATACCATTCACCAATATTAAGAACTTCAGACCTACAAAAGCAGCAGTTCTGGGCTGGGAATTTAACTCAGTGGTTCTGCTGCCTGCCTCGAAAGCACAAGGTCCTGAGTTTGATCCTCAGTGAGGGAAAAAAAAAAAAAAAAAAAACAGCAGTTCTGTTTAGTTTAACCTAATACCCATAGCTTCCCGCGATGCCTTCAAAAATAAATGTGAGAGTGAAAATGGACTGCGGAACATGGCATAGCTGACCCCAACAAAGGAAGGGTGAAATAAGGTCAGTTCAGCAGTAATCAGAGGTCCTGATGGTCTTGGTGACAGGTGGACAGCAGTGGGTGGAAGCCGAGGCTTTGGTGTAGATCCCCACCCAGTTAGTCAGGGGGATGTCGACTAACTCCCAGTGAGGCTGTTACTTTCTGGAAGCCCCCTGGTTAAGGTCACGGCCACATCCAATGGCTAAGTACTCAGTCACACCTTTCCTGAGCAGCAGCACTTGACACATTTATCCTGGTTATTCTTTTTTTCTTGAGGGTCTCACCATTTGGCTTCTAGGACTCTGTCTTGGATTTCTTCTCCCCCTGTGGCAATTTCTTTGCAGATCTCTGTCTTGCCCCTACCTCTCAGTGTTGGCCTCTGACCTCCTCCCTCATCCCATTTCCATCCACATTCAGCCCTGGACACCTTCAATCCCAGAGCCCTCAGTGATCACAGTATGTGGGTGACTCCCCATATCCTACCTCTAGCCCTGACCTCCCTCCTCAGCTTCAGATTTATCCAAATACCTGCCTACCAGGCCCCCTGGGGCATCTTCACCTTCACAGGTACAAAACTCTTGACTGTCCCCAGCCCCTGCCTTCTGGTACCACGCTTGGTCTTCACTCCTCCATGAAAATGCAGACTTTGACTAGATGAAGGTGTCAGATACCCCCCCAACATCCAGTTCATCAGAGAATCCTACTATCTCTGCATAAGACTAGATTATGAATCCAATACTAATCTCTTCCAGTACTAATCTAGTCTAAGGTGCCATGGCCTCCTGCCATCTGATCTCCATTCTCTCCTACCTTCCCTGAGTCTTACCAGCCAAAGACGCCGTGAGTGATCAGGTGTCAGCACTGTTCCACCATACTCAGAATAAAATCTGGCTTCTCTGTCACAACCTTCCCTACCCACTGCCTTACAGAGCTGGTCCATAGTTTCATTTCCTACTGATTTGCCCTGGCTCATAGCCCACGAGCCTGGTCTCCTTCCTTTTCCTGGAATGGACAAACACAATTTTGCTGTTACCTCTTTCTTCTTAGTGGTTACCCTTCTCTCACTTCCTGCAGGTCTCTGTTCAAATGTCCCAATCTCAAAAGAGGCCTCAGTGACCACCCTCTCCCTTATTCAGCTGTACTTCACAGTGCGAGGTAGTCCCCAAGCTGATGACACATCTGTTCATCTGCACTGCTGTCCCCCATCCCTTTGTGGAATGTCAGGTCCCGAGGGCAGGTACATTTTATGTTTCACTTACTGCTGGTAACACCAGACCTGAGAGCAGTGCTGGGCACAGTGGGCACTCAAGTATTCGCTGAATGATGAATAATGGCATAGGTGCCCACTGGAGCCTCCTCTCCTAAAGACATGGACCACCCTCCATGCTCAGGAAGCCCCACTTTCACTGCCTCTTAGGTTGGGTGCCTAGGGAAGGGGGCCTCAGCTGAAAAGAGCAGGACAAGCCTGCCAAGGGCCAGGGTGGCTTCTGACTCCTGTCTGTGGATGCTGGCATAAAAAGGACTTCTCCACCTCTCATCTGGATCTGATCACAAGCAACGAGTCACTCAGTGCCATGTGAGGAAGGGCGTCTCAGAAGGGAGGGTTAGGAGCAGGGAGATGAGTGTCTCTTGGGGAGTGGGACCAGCCATGTGGATCCCTGCATGGGAACTGTATCAGGTCACAGAAAGGCACCAGACACAGCTGGGTCCTGCCAGGATACTTCAGTGGAGCTCTTGTCGGCATGGAGTGTGTAGTGTCTGTGTGATCTGAGGAGGCCGTGGGCCCTTGCTGAGCCTGGTTTGCTCACTGAGAAAGAACATCTGTCCATGCTGCATAAACTGGAAATGTAAAATGGCATGGCAGGCACTGAAGGTCAGCTTTCCCTCTCCTGGGTGAATTTTCTTACCCACAAGGCTTCTGCTCCCTTTGGATGGGATAAGTTGACACTTGCCTTCTAATGAGTTTAAGGGGAGAGATAGTATAACAGTAATCAAGAAAGTGTACCAGCTGGGCACAGTGGCACACACCTATCATTCCAGATGCTTGGAGACTGAGGCGGATGATGGCAAGTTGCAGGTAGCTCAGGCAATTTAGCAAGACTCTGTCCCCGCCCTCCAAAAATTAAAATAGGGTTGGGCATGTAGCTAAGCGGTAGAGTGCTCACCTAGCACGTGGGAGGTCCTGGATTTAACGCCCACTACAGGGGGAAAGAAAATAAAATGTGTACAGATACTTTTTTTTTTTCACAGAAAAAGTTCCAATCAACATGATTTTAAAAGCCAGATGTGCTGCTTTACTGAGGTTACTTCCCTGACTTTACTACATAAGAAAAGAAGCTGGGCATGGTAGTACATGCTTACAATCCCAGCTCTCTAGGAAGCTGAGGTAGGAAAGTTGCCAAGTTTGAGACCAGCCTGGGCAACTTAGTGATCTAGCAAGACCCCGTCTCAAAATAAAAAAGTAGAACATTAAAAAAAAGGGTTAGAGGGCCAGGGATTTAGCCCAGTGGTTCCGCTGCCTGCCTCGTAAGCACAAGGGCCTGAGTTCGATCCCTGGTACCAAAGGAAAAAAAAAGGGTTAGGGATGTAGCTTACTGTAAAGACTCTAGGTTCAATCCCCATTGCCAAAAAAACAGAGAAGTAGTAGTGTGGCTGACACAGAATGGCACTGAGCTCCCCTGGACTCCTCTTTATGAGGTCTTGCAATGCATCATTGTATTGGTTACAGATGGGGCTTTGTGAGTAAAGCCTCAGCACAGGCTGAGTAACACTGAGTGACTCTAGGGGTCCTCCTGAGTTGTATTGGGCAGTTGACAGCACCTTGAAAAGGGACCTCACTGCCCCTTGGGAGGATACAGGACTAGTCCTACCCAGTGGCCAGGCAGGAGAGCCAATGGAAAGATACATAGTTACTGAGCTTGACATTCAATCCTGGCTGCTCCTTAGGGCAACTAGTTCTTTCAGAGTAGTCGGATTTATGATTCCTGAGAATATGAATATAAATGTGGACCCCTCTCTTAAAAAAAGATGCTGTAGTCCACATACACTCCAAATTTGGCTTACATGTTCCAAGGGTCCTTGGCCTCCTTGGGATTTCTGAGTGGAATGCCTAGGGAATGAGTAGGACAGAGGAGGGGAGGACAGAATGAAGACAGGACGCTTAACCATTTGGGTATAGCACAACCAAAACAGTGCTGAAAGGCAGCAGGGAGACCCTGGCCCTTTACTGTTTGCTTGGAGATGGGTCTTGATGAGGAAATAGGGCTCAGCATTGCTCTAAGAAGCCACCCAGCATGCAGGACACTGACATATCTCCAAGCACAGGAATGAGAGGGCAGGGGTAGAGAGGGTTGCCCTTTTTCTCTCTCTGAAAACAAATCAAAACTAAACCCAATTAACTGAAAGTCAGTCCTGTTATCTCAGCTGGTCCCTTTTCTATCATTCCGGGTTCTTCCTAGACGCAGCTTTCAGTTTGCAGCTGCCTTTGAAGGAACTAGAGACAAATGATGATGGCCATCTCTCAGGGAGAGTGGCAGAATCTTCCAGCTGACCTCTGGGAAACAAAGCCCCTTGGGTTGCAAAATGAATTTCCTAAACTTAAAGAAAAGAACTCCCGAATGTATTCTGCAGGGAAAGAAGAAATTCCATTTTGCAAACAATCTGGAAAAGGTGCTGACACTTTACAGATTAGGAGAATGTATTGCTCTCCTGCCTGACTCTAGTCATGTAAATAGGAATCCAAGAGGAAAGAGTTCTCAAGTCAGGTAACTTCATCAGCAGGCTAGCTTCCTTCTAGTTTATAGATGGGTGGGGTCAGCATGTGGCTGTCAGAAGTAAGTTTCCCAGGTCAAGTTGCCAGGACACAACAGTACCTGGAGGGAAAGACCAGGACTCTGACCCAGGTGGTGTTGGCCCAGGAGAAGAGAGATACACAGAGGAGTAAGCACTGGCCTCTGCCCCCACCCACAGCCTCCACTTTGCGTCACAGCCCGGTTCTGAGCTGCCTGTGAACTCCGACCCCACAGATCTGCTTCCTGAGAAGTATTCCCAGAACTCCAGGGAGAGCTATCCAAGAGTAGCCAGTTTCAGCTCCTTTTCTTGGCTGTTAACAATTTTATTTACATTACCATGGTGTAGTTTTAAAAGGCTTTTCTTTATAAGACATTACTTCCTTCCTCCCATTCATTATGAACATAGATCTTAGTGTTATGACTGGGAAGCTGGATTACGACATCCAGAATGAAGACAAAGATTCTACATCTTGTGGTATGGCAGTAAAACAGGTTCAGATTTTAGGACTCAAGTGATTGCACTTAGGAGCCAGAAGAACAAAGCTGCTCTTCGAGATGCCTTATTTGGACAGTAGTTTTTGACATGTTGCTGATAGTTATTAACCAGGCATTTCAAGGGCAAGAAACTGTTTTCCCAAAACTACCTTTCAGACATTTCCAGGCAAGTACTAAATAAAAACAATGGGCACTGGACTGAAAGTCTCTAGACATGGTTCTGCCCTGGCTTGAACTCCTGTAGGCTGGGCCTCCAGGGGCCAGGAAACTTATGCAGGCTGTTCTTCCTGTCCAAAAGTCCTTGGTTTTCTCATCTGTAAAATGAGGGTGCTGGAGGTGGGGATACAGCAAGTAGTCAAGCGATTACCTAGTATACACTCTATCCCCAGCCCCACAAAAAGAAATGACTCAAAAAACAGTACTGAGGTTGTTAATTTAAACCTTCCCAAGGCTCATTTTCTTCTCTTTCTAATTCTACACCCCTGTGGAGAGGAGAAGAGTCCCAAACGCACATTTCCTGCTTTGTTTTAGGACAAATCCCAAGCCTCACTGCTGGGCCTCACCCTTTCCTGAGATGACCTGGCAGGGCTTCTCTTTCTCCCAGTCTCTACTTTTCTCTCTCTGCTGTCTTATGATTATTTGTTTCTTCCAGCAGAGGCAGTTCTGTCCTTTCTCACCTGAGACGTAGCCCAACTCACCTTGGAAGGATGGCTGCCCACACTCTGCCCTTCTCACGTTCAGGAACCACTCTGGTCTGTGCTCTAGCACTCACACTTGTTACCGTGGCTTGTAAACAGCTTGTCATTTTCCTATGGGTGTGTCCTTCTCCTGCCTGGTGCCCTGGTGCCCAGCTTTCCCAGCCACAGGGTTCTGGGTGTGGGGGTCAGGTCTGGGAGGGGAGGAGAAGTAACCAGGCCCTCCTCCTGGTAGGGTACAGGAAGAGGCCATAAGCCAAGGCTGCCACTTTATTTTTCCTGTCTTGTTTTTGCAAAAACAACTTGACGACCATAAAAATGAATGCCTAGATAGGAATCGGGCAGCTGGGGCTATTCCAGCCAGGTATGTGAGGGGCTGAGAGATGGGGACTGTGTGTGTGGTGGCAGTAGTGGGCATGACCTACCGTCCACGGTAACTCGGCAGGAACACTCTGCCTGGCCAGCGCCGTTCTTGGCTATGCACTTGTACAGGCCTCTGTCCTCAGGCAGAGCCTTCTCGATGGAGACAGAGCACAGTGAGCCTGGGGGAAGAAGAAAGAGCTGTTGAGTGGACCAGGTAGGGGCCCAGTCTGGCCGGCATCTGGAGCATGAGACGAGCGTTCACATGCAGCAGGACAGAGACCCCATGGGACTCAGCTCCCCGTCCTGTGGAAGCCAGGGCTACTGCTAACTCAATATAACTCTCTAGGTACCTGTCCTCCTCCAGAGAGTTCTCCCTTGGGGACCTGATGCAGAAACAGGGCAAGAAATAGCCTATGGTCCAGCAGAGCATTCAATACAGAGAGAGAGAGAGAGAGAGAGAGAGAGAGAGAGAGAGAGAGAGAGCGCAAAAGAAGAGTCAGAGAAATGCTACCCCGTGGGCTTGGAAGAAAGAGGAAAGGACCTTGGGCTAGGGAAAAAAAGAGAGAGAGAGAGAGAGAGAGAGAGAGAGAGAGAGAGCGCAAAGGGATACTCCCCACACACCAGGAGGGACAAGGAGTCAGACATGGGTTACAGGTCTGCTGGGGAGGGCCTCTGTCAAGCCCAAGGCGGTATTCTGAAGATGGCTCTTGGAAAAGGGAATTTTGAGCAAAAAGGTCTATGTGTGAGGGGGGCAGGAGCCCTGGTTCAGCAGGGACACTGGGCTGTGGGCGACCTGTGGGGAGGAGGAGGTAACTACAGCCTGGGACTGTGCTGCTGGCTTTTTAGGGTGGGATGTGAGCTGAAGAATGGGGGCAAATGGGTGGCACTGGGCCTGGTCTCTGGTCAGCTCACAGCACGGTGGGGATGGCCTTCTTCCTCTACTCTCACCTCCAGCACATTTATCCTAGCCTGGCTGGGGCAGAGGAGTCAGGCTGGCACACATAGGAATCTGGGGCCTGGCCCTTGCCCACCCAGCTCTTTTCTAGGGCTGGTCTTTTCTCCTCAGGGGCCCTTCTGTGTGTTTCCCTCATGGGGCGAGGAGAGGCCAGCGGAGGATGGGGCTTGATGGGCCAGGTAGGGGCAACAGTATCTAGTACCTGCCTTCTGACACACAGACAAGTGAACAGCATGTGTCCTGCCCAGGGATAGCCATCAGGGCAGCAGCCATCACCTGAAGAGAGAGCAGAGCCAGAGCCACTGGCCAGGGGAGAGCAGAGCTGTGGGCACCCTGGGTGTCTGTGCATGGAGTGGGGACCAAAGGGAGGCCTGAGGGAACTGTGCCCAAGGCGGTCTTCTGATCTCAGGAAGAACACTCTTTTCTGGTCCCTCCTCTCCTTTAGACAGGTGCACACACCTGGCCAATAAATATAGGGACACCTAGAAAGAGAAACAATGGCAACAGTTTGGGGCGGAGAATCTCTCAGGAGGGGAGGAAAGTAAAAGGCCTAATATTTTCATGGGACAGAGGACTGATCTTACACCTGTGACAGAGCCATGGAGGGCCTCCCTCCAACCAGCTCAGGGAACGGTGGCCATATCTATCATGATCAATCCTTTTACTGAAGGACCTTGGGCAACAGTCTCTTTCCACTGAGACTAGGGGACAATTTGCAGGAACTTCAGCCGAAAGGATTTAAGTTGGACCTCTAGAAAGTCTGGCGTGAGAGCTAGAACTAGGAGGCACAGAAATAAGGGAATGAGGACGCACGCCTTCTGGAGAGAAACTTCCATTCATCTGGGTGGGCAGAAGGAGGCTAAAATGGTCTCCCGTTTCAAAGTCAATTTTCTGTCTGTCTGGTGGGACTAAGGCTCTGGGAATAGATATCCCACCCCTGAAGAATATCCTGTTCAAATCCTTGGTTTTCTTTCAGTTTCGGTCCCCTGGATGCCTTTGGCCTTAAGCCAAAAGGTCATTGGCGTAGAGTGACAGGACAAGGGGCAGTGGTACACTGGATGCCCGCCCCCACCTCCCGCCGACCCCTCCCCCAAGCTCTCCCAAAGCAGAGTTCGACTGGCCATGGCCAAGGCCACGAGCAAGGGGGGGTGGGGGGCAGGGGGAGAGCTGGGTAGACTGGGAGGCTGGCTACCCAGATGAGGAATCTGGTATTTCCTGTGGGACAGCTCATTCCTGACCTCCACAAGAAAACTGTTTCCCAGAGGTTTTTTTGAGCAGCCTCAGCCTGGTGGGGCTGGGCGAATGGGAATGAGGGGGATGGGAGAGGTCAGGAGTAGACTCAGCCCCTCCCAGCCAGGGAGGAACAGCTCTGGGTCTGAAGGTCTCCCAACTCTTCTTCCTGCCTGGGTGGGCACGAAGGCAGGAGGGGACTAAGTAGGAGGAGGCAGGGAGCTTTCTGAAGGTCTGGCGGCCCAGCTAGGAGGTTCCTTCAGCTGGCAGGATCTCCCTGGCCTGGTTCACCTGGCAGGCCCAGATCAACACTGAGACTCACCTCCAGGCCACCTCCCCCAGGACAGTGCCCTCTATGGCACCTCTAAGCCCCCAGCCCTGGCTGTACCTCTCCAGTGCTCCCATGTTATCCCAAGCTCATTGTTATCAAGTTACTCCTCTCAAGCCCATTGCTGAAATACATGCCCATCTCCCATTCTAGCTCTGGGGACAGTGACCTATCTACCTATCAGGAGTTCTCTTCCTGAGTCTGGAATGCAATCACAGTAGAAAACATTGTTATTTTGAGAATGACAAAGACACATTTTTGCAGCAGGTGATCTGACAAGATCTACAAAAGAAAAGGTTATGAATACATGATATAACCTACTGTTAAAAAAGATAAGAGTTTTTTTTTTTTTTTTTTTTTTTGTACCGGGGAATCCAACTCTGGTCCTGTGCTTGTGAGGCAGGTGGCAGAACAACTGAGCTAAATCCCCAGCTCCCCAGCTCCCCAAAACATAAGAGTTTTTAGAAGGAACAAGTCCTAATTCAGAGGTCTTCAAGTAGATGATTCATACAAGGGAAGAGACTAGAATAATGCCTTGCACATAGTAGGTGTTTCAAGCTGTACTTTTTGTAGGATAAACTTATATAAGTTTGAAAAAGCCTTCACAAGATTCCTTGCTGAAGGAAATTAGAAATGAATCATCTCTCGACAACAGCAACAACCATAAATCCTCATAATTAGACTGGGGGAAGTGCTCTGCTGGAGGAAGCCAGGCCTGGGGCAGAAAGCAAGAAAGATAAAATCAGTCTCTGAGTCACCTCAACACTGTTCTGGGCTCCTGGGGCCATTGCCTCAGGTGTAGAAAAGGAGACTCAGTGCCTGCTCTGCATGTAGCCCAGCTGGTGTCACCCTGAACTCCACCATTGTGCAGCTCTACGGGGGGGGGGCAGGAAAAGGGAGGGGGCTTCCTTGTGCCTGTCCCTCTATGGGTTAACTAGTGTCAGCTCCAGCCGACGGTATGTCCTCGGTGCTAACAGATGCAGGTTCTGAGGCCAATCTAAGCTACAGACATCAGAGAAGCTGCCAAACTACAGAGCACCACTGGGCAGGGAGGATGGCACAGGTCTCTGGCTAAAGTGGTGACAGTGGTCTGGGAAGGCACCCTTGAGCAAATAAAGCTTGATGGGAGAAGAGATGACAGGATGAGGTCAACACAATGGGGCAAGGGGTCCATGGCGGGTGGGGGCAGAGGGTCCTGAGCAGGCAGGAAGGGCAGGCAGACAGGACATAGACCATTCCTCCCCTATGAATCACCTCAAACCCCACGCTTCCCTATTTCCACTAACAGTGTCCCTGTGGCCTAGACGCCCACACCTGATGGTCTGCCACCCCTTCCTCTTCACCTAGCCCCGATACACCCTGCCTTTCATGCACAGTGACAGGTTCTCTTCTGTCCTTGCTTCTTGCCCTGACTGGCTCTTCTCAATGGCTTTACCTATCTTGCTAGCCCAGGCCTCACCACCTTTTCCCCTGACCTTTGCAGCAACCTTCATGCTTGTCTTCTGGGCACAGACAAAACTCCTAAACCCACCTTTGCATATGGTGCTCCTTATTCAAGATCTTGCATGACTTCCTATTGCTTTTATACTCAGTTTCTTGGATGAACTCAGGACCAAGCCCTACTCTTCAGCACAGGTGGGCTATGAGCAGCCTGCCTTTCCGCTGCTGCCCCCTGCATGAAAAGCCCACCTTCTGCACACTTCCCTGTTGCCTAATCCTGGCCTGTCTTCTGAGCTCAGATGGAGGCCAGAGCTTTCCCACCAGCCTTTCCCAGTGGCTCCCGAACTTAGCTTTCCATCTTCCTGCTCCAAGAAGCTCCTCCTGCCTCTCAGGGCTCATGGCTATTATCAGTGTGAGTTTGTATCCTCTTTCCAGATCTGTACCCCCTGACCTGATCCCTGTAGGGGACCCGCTCCCCACAGAAGGACCTGCTGAAGGAGCAACTGATAAGCATTAAAATACACTTTCTCCCTGACAAAACATAACAAGTCCCTGATGAGTCTCTTAAAGACTTGGCCAGTGCAGGAACAGATGAGACTGATATTTTGAGACAAGGCACTTTCCCCTCCTACTGTAGCAAAACAGGCCAGTTTCAAAGTCTACATCCTCCACTGCAGGGAAAAGTCCCAGAAACATGACAAGCCCACAGTGCCTCACCTGTCTTTCAACATTTGGTTAGACACAGGAACTCAATGACCTGAGTTCCAACACCAGCTGTTATTTAGGAGCTGTGCAGCGTTGGGTGAGATACTTGTCTGTCAGACAGACATGAGCGTAACCATGAGAGGATTCAGTGAATGGAAAATGTTAGATGCCTAGGACAGTGTCTGGCACACAATGTCAACAGATATAAGCTTTCTTATTTTAAAATGAAATTTAAAATATTTATAATATCACTTAAAGTCTGGATTGGGGCTTTGTCTACCCCTCCATCTCAGTCTCTCTTCTTGAGCTCACCCGCTTTTAATCATGTCTGCTTTGGACCTATTTCCTTTGGGACAGTTTCCGTGGAAGGCAATGTTGGAGTAGCTGGCATTGCTATGCCTTTTAATACCCAGTGACCAGCATATAAAACTACTTCAGGCCATCAGGGCACAAGAAGCCAATGGCTAATAGCTTTAGGGATCCTCCTAGCCCAGCTGAACCTGTCTCTCTGAGGTTGGTGCATTGTGGACCTCATACGTCCCTACACATGTCCCAAAGGTGCCAACTGCCCAACCTCTCCTTTTCCAAAAGGTCACGCCAGGGTAGCCTGGGAAATGCTGCTGGTCAAGGTTTCCAATCAGTCTGAACAAGGATATTCCAATGGGACCCCCACCCCAGCCCCTGGAGCTATGAAAGCAGAGGCATCCATGTCCTTGGGCGTTTCAGCCATCTCGTGATCCCCTAGGTCCACCTGTGTGTGGGCATCACGTGACAGAGCCAGCAGAGGGATGAGGAAGATGCCTTATGGAGGACCTTGCCAGACGGCACATCCACATGAAAAAGTCACCGTGTTGACACACTTGCCAAAAGCAACAGTATCCTCTCTCCGTTCAGCGTTTAGATTCCACACGCCTTCCAGATTTGCTGTCCAAGATGGAGAGTGAACCGTGGACAGGATCATGGTAATCTTTAAATGCCTCCTTCCAGGTTTGAAGAGTAAGGCAGGAGATAGGATGAAGGGCAAGGGAGGGAGTGAAGACGGGTGTGACCAGAGGATTGTGGAGGGGAGGTGCAGTTCCAGCTTCTCATCTGACATGCATGTATGGGGACCAGTCCACCTGGCCTATCTCCTTCTGCCATTCAAGGGCAGATTCCCCCACCTGGGGAGCTTCTTTGTACCCTGCCCTGGGCAAATTCTCTAGTGCCAGCCTCCAGCTTAGGCATGGCTCCAACCCTGAAAGGCTCCAGAGTGGGGTGTGTGGTATCTGCTAGGCTCGGAGCTCTTGGCCACACATGGGATTTACAAGAACACTTCCAGCCAACTTGAGGACCAGGAAGGGGACTTTCTCTCACCCCTGTCTCTTTTCCAGGTACAAAATGGCCTATCTGAGAACTCCAGACCCCAGAAGGCTACAGATAGCAGGATTTAACCCCCAACTCCACCCAAGAATGTGAAATACCAGCAAACAGAAGTCTCATCCAAATTAGGAAGCGAGCAGCTCTGCCGGCTGTGTGTGCCATCGGAGTTGCTGTGTTAGGTTTCTGCCTTTCCCCATAAGACCCTTCAAACCACAATGCTGTAAATATTGAGTTGTTCATGCCCTGTGGCATCCTGTCACTGTACATCCCTCCCCAAGCCCAAACTGCTTCAGCTTTCACAGCTCCTGGCTCTAAGCCCTGGCAGGCTCCAGCCCCACGTCCCCCTTTCCCAGCCTGCAGGCAGAGCCTTCTCCACACAGGGGTGGCCAGACACCGGCTCCAGCCCTGGTCTTCTCTGGGGAACCCTGGGTCTGGGAGCCATGAGGGGATTCTACAAGACTGGCACGAAGACACAGGCATGTGCCAAAAGATCAGAATCCAAACCCTCACTCCCAGCAAGGGGCACCCAAGGCCTTGAGAGGGAAGGCATCCTGTGAGTGAGGAGGAAGGGCCAGGCATTAGAACTCAGGCTATGGGCTATCAGCGGCCATCAGCCAGACTAAAGCTCCATGAGCACATTGTGACCCTGGTACAGGACCCCCTTCTCCCTGACTCCCACCCTCATTTACCTTCTTGGGAGAGGATGATGAACTTGGTGGTTTTGAGTGTCTTTCCATTCAGTGTCCACGTGATGGTGGCTGGGGGCTCAGAGGACACCTTGCACTGGAGTAGCAGTTTCTCACCCTCTGCTACATGGACATCTTGTAGCTTCTCCGTGAAGGTTGGGGCCATCCTGTGACTCTCTGGTCTTTTCTCATTATCTGTGGCCCCTGCATGCCCTCTCTTGCAATTCACATCATTCTTAACTTCCTTCTTGAGTTCTTCTTTCCCGGATGCTTTAAAGGTCTCAGCAGGTTTGGCATTGCTCAGCAGTTTCGGGGTCTCAGCAGGCTTGGCATTACCAGTGGGTTTCGGGTATCTGGAAGGCTGGGTGCTGCCTACAGGTTTCAGGGTCTCGGCAGGCTTGGCGTTGCCCATGGGTTTCATGGATCCTGCAGGCTCTGCATTGCCCACAGGCATGGGACTTTGTGGGGCTTTGGCATCTGGGGCCTCTGCACCGCTGCTGCCATTCTCCGCTGGTGATTTCTTCTTGCTGCCCAGCACTGAGCGGAAATCCAGGGTGGCAGCTTTTGGAGGTGGTGTCTTCTCAGGACTGGGGGTCTTGGGAGCCCCCTTCTTGGCCAGGACAGAACGGAAGTCGACCTGTTGGGGACTATGCACCTTCCTCTCATCCTCAGACACAGTCTTTGGCTTCACTTGCCTCTGCAGGTTGGCCCGGAAATCCATCTGCTCAGCTGGGATCTCTTTGAGGTCTTCTTCGGATACAGTCTTGGTGTTCACCTTCTTCCCCAGGAGGTCACGGAAATCCAGCTGCTCCACCTCCTGCTGGCGGATCGCCTCCTCTGTGTGCAGCCTGGTCTCCACGCGCCTCTTCAGCAGGCCCCGTACGTCCTCACCGGCTTCCTCCTCCAGCCAACCCTGCCCTCTTGCTAGCCAGCCAGGCCTCAGGGTCCCATCACAGTCACTGCCGCCATCAGCACCAACTCCTCCACCACAGAGGCCCTCACGGCTGGCAGGCTCCCGCCCCCTGCAAACAGTGAAGGGAAAAAGGAAAAGTAGCAAGAGGAAAAGGGGCCGGGTAAGCCAGAAACGTCAAGGGAGAGCAAATCCCTGAGGGCGGAGGGTAGAGAGGAGAGGAGGGGGGAGAGGAGCTGGGGGCTGGTCAGGCTGTGTTTATAGAAGGGAACATTGGTGGGAGCTCTTGCTTGCTTAGTTGGTTTATTATATCGGTAATGACTTCAGTAGCCTTATAAGGGTGTGTGCAAAAAAAAAAAAAAAAAAAAAAAAAAAA